GAAGTATGGTCCCGCCATTGTTGATAAATCCCATTGAAAAGCTCGTTTAGAAGTGTTGTCCCGCCAGACCACTTGAAATATTATTGAAGTACTTCAAGTGGATGAAAACTAAAGAAAAACATTTCTTCGTTAGATAAACCACTTAAGTTGTCTGTAAATTGGAGTTACCAAAAACACAAATTCAGTGGCAAAACTTAGAAACTACCTTTAAAATTTTTTTGTCGGACTTTTATATGGGACCATTGGCAGTTTTACGGGACCATACTTCTAAACGAGATTTTAAGCGGGACCATACTTCTAAATGAGTACCTTTCAGACTTATTTGAAAATTATGCTGTGAATAGACGTTTTTCGCTGGAAAAAATCTTTTTAATTGAATAGAATCATACAACACAGCAACTGTAAAAGTAACAAGAAAAGATGGTTGTGGTGCAAGTAGCACAGTATGTTCCGACAAAGTTAAGTCATTTTACAACAATCAAAAGAAAAGACATTTTTCTTAAAAGTAAAATAGTGGTGGCATAATTTTTTTTGAAGTTGCGCGTTCATTCAGTAAATTTAATCAGAACAAGAACACGTTTTTTGGAACCCATGATGATCTGGTGCAATCAATTTATTTACTTGTTTTAAAGACAGAATGCGCTCAAACAAAAACTTCTCAAAGATATTGCTCAAACAACTATAAAAACGAATGGGCTAAAATTGCATTTTTTTGTATCCAGGCTTCGAAACCGGGATATCTTATTGAAAGAGGTATCTGAATAAACCATTAAGATTCAATTGGGCTGTTAAAACAACGTGCAATCGACTCACTGATTATTGATGACGCACTCTTGATTTTTCACTTCATATGACGCACTCATTTGCACTTCAGATTTTTGACCTCATGTCCTGAACTATATCAAAAACTTCGTTTGGAGCAGGGGCAGATTTGGGGGGGTGCCCCAACCCCTCAGGTATTCGACCCCTTGCCGACCCAAAGGGCTCCCTCCCCCTTTGTACTATTTTGAGATATCCATTTTGGTGACGGAACCTAAAAATGTTCTAAAGGCGCCTTCGGCACCAATATATACTCATTTTTGAAGTGGAGCGCGCGTCAAAAAAACGCGATTTTCTAGGTCAAAATGTTCCAAAAATTGCAAAAAACGCTTATTTTGGTCTCTTTTTACAAAATTTTGCCTGCGGCGCAGAAAATTTGGCCAAAACAGCGTTTTTTAGTGTTTTGAAAAGCCCCCCCCCCCCCCCCCTCTCGAGAAAATCCTATATCCGCCCCTGGTATGGAGTCTCTCAAGAAACAAGTTTTTGTCATTTGAAAAACAATGAAAATTTTGATAAAAAGTATTGAAATTTTCGGTTAGATTTTCCCCGATAATTACTAAATAAAATATCAATTCGTCTGCATCGAATTGGATTTTTGTTCGAAGGGTTTCTCACAAAATTGTTTCAAATTTGTTTAACTTCTTTTAAGGTTTCTCACAAAATTTTCTAAAAATTAGTTCAAAACAACCAATAACACTTTTTTGTTTCTTTGGCGCATAGTCATCAAAACGACAAGAGTTACGTCAAGCACGAAAACAAAGTTAACCTTTTACACTAATAGACAAACTGAAGCGAAAAGTCAGCTTTTTACTCTCTAAAATGCCTGCTTTCATTGTGAATTTGGGACAACATTTCCTTCGAAAATCAGTCAAGTTTTAAAACAGACCAAGAGTAAATGATAAGAGCTACCTTTTATGAAACTACAAACATTTGGTTTCAATGGCTTACCAATGTAATCCGGGTCTGAAAATGTAATTTGTCCTCATCTGCAGTAAGTTTTTTTTACTTCGCGTGAAAATTTCGCGTGAGTTTAGAAAATTTTTCAAGCTGATTGTTTCCATTTTCTCGCTGAAACTGTTTTACGAGGCGTAAACAATTTTTTATTCCGCTTATTCAAGGAAAAATTCAGGATGGTGCAAAAAATAAGTGCAGATAAGGTCAATAGGCGTTTTTAGAACTGGTAAGTCATTCAAACCAAATATTGATAGTGTCATAGAGGGTAGCTTTGATCAATTGCTTTGGTATATGTAAAATTGTTTACTGATTTTTGAAGGAAGTTTTGTCCAAAATGGACTTGAAAACAGACTTTAGAGGAAAAAAAATCATCAATTTGCGCTTACTTTTGTCCACTGGTGTGTCAATATTTAGAGCATGAAGGAAAATATCTGTTGAATGAATTCAGGATTACATTGGTCAGATTGAATATGATAGTATATTGAATAGTCGATACCAGGTTCGGATTTCAATATTACCCTTGTCGGCTCAGTATTTTGAAATTTTATCCGGATATTTATCGATTTTAAACTCATTTTCAAAGAAAGCTTATGATTTGAAGTCGTTTTTCATTCACCAGAAGATCTAATTTCGAAAGGAAATCTTCACTCATAAAAGAACGTCTGGAGTCAATGTATATGTACCATGTTCTATATCAATTTTATAGCATTTTTTGTTGCTACTTTTAAATCTTTTATGATATTAAAGGTTTCTTCTCTCGTTTGTACAAATCGTTGAGTAAAAGAATTGATTGAAAATTTTGGATTATTACGCTTGCGATAAGCAAGCGTTATGAAACTGGAATATAGACTTTTTTTTCGGGTTAACAATTAGTTAAACAAATAAGTTGAATAACTTATTTTCACTTCTTTTCTCTTCTTACTTTTCTTAATATGTTCCAGGTTGGTTACCCCTTGACATGGAGGTAAAGCAGTTGCCTTTGTAATCTAAGATCTGGAGGTCAAGTCGTGGCCGGATCTTATTTTTTTTTTCAATATCAAGGAAAATGAAAAAAAAACGAGAAAAATGAATTGTCGATTTTTCGTTTGTTCGCTCAGATTTTGTCGGCTAAATTGCCACAACGGATTTTGCTTTTGCTGTAGACAATTTTCCTTGTAGTTGCAATTGCAAATGTTGTTCATTCTAATTTCAAGGGGGACTTTTAAAAAATTATGAAAATTATTTTTCGGTACAGTTGGTGTCTGCTCAAAGATGGTCGGCTTAGTTGCCACATCACCGATTTTTTTTTATTGTAAGCAACTTTTATTGGAGTTGAATTTGCTGTTCATTCTAGTTTCAAGGGGACATTGAAAAAGGTTTTTATAGTAGACATTGAAAACAGGCATTTTGGAGGGTAAAATCCTGAATTTGCGCTTAATTTTGTCCACTAATTTGTTATTGAAGCTAGATGAAAGAAGAATAAAGTTTTTTCGCATTTAGCCTGTTTCCTTCCGGAAAAGAGTTTTTTCCGTTTTTAACTTTTTGTTCATTATTTGCATTCAATATTATCCGAGTTGTTTTGATAGTCGCGGAGTTGTTCAATAGTTTCTACTTCATTAGGGTAGTCCCGGAATTCTTTCAGTATCCGAAATTTTTCAAACGATGTAATTGCGTTGTTCATTTGACAACTTTCTTCAACTCTCGTGTTTCTTATAATTTCACGCAATGTTACGACCTATTTAAGGCACGCAACATATTAACGGGCGGGATGCACTAAATAGAATGGTTCAAAAGTTAAATAGATCCAAAAGAAGAATGAACTATTTCAACCTAAACTACAATTTACAGACAATTTTCACGCCGTTCTTAGGTGTTTGAGGTTAGCACTCGTTTTGTAAGTCAGTCAATACTTATTTACAAGTCACACACTTGCTAAGGTATGGCCGTTTAATTGATAAAGCATGTTTAAATAAAACAATATCTGAAAACAGTCTTCTAATAGATAAATTTTTTAATTGCACAAAGATTATAAGCTATGTTCGGCTGCGAATTATGTGAATTTTTGATGTTCAGTTAGATTTTCGAAGTATTTTCAAATTGAGCAATCAGGTTTCGTGTGTTCTGTCTACGGGCTTGTTCTGTTCATTGATTTTGGTTGATCTATTTTGTTTTGACAATTTTTCTTATGGTTTCCTTGATCGTGGGATTTTCCTCTCATTTTCTTGTGGAAGCTTGACTTAGAGCTTTCTTGGCAATAAAAGCTTTCAAAAAATATTTATGTGATATTTTTCTAATTTGTTGTTGGTTTAAAAGTCGATGAACTTTGTTCAGACTCTTAAATAGGTCGTGATGATTTTGTTCAGACTCTTAAATAGGTCGTGATGACCAAGAAAGTCATCAAATTTGCTCAGGCTCAAATTTATTTTTTCGCATTTTGACTTCTGGTTTCTTTTCAAGTTCTTTTCATTTCCTTTGTTGAAAGAAAGGCAAGCTCCTTTATTGAACACCGAAAGTGTAAAGATCACGAAAAACATGATCGACTTCCAATTTATAAAACGGAATTTCATTATCAGATTTCCCAGCGAAATAAAACATTTACCTATTGATCCAGTTTTCTCAAATTTGATTAATTTTATCAAAAAAATGTCATTCAGGAATTGTTCTTGAAATTCAATGAGCTTTAAAGTCACCTATTTCTATCTGAAGTGCCTCATATTTCGTCTCTCCACAAGCGAAGAAAACTTTCATGTGTTTGTGTGTGTTGTGAGGGTTAGGGGGACTTAATAACTTTTTATTAGTGTGTTTTTGTTTGAATGTGAGCATGTTTTAATAATTCATTTTGATAGATCTAGTTTTTTCATTGTTTTCGATTTCTTTTTCGACTTGTCGGCTTTTATGTTTTGTACCACAAGTGGTGCGAAGCTCAGCTTCGCCTCTATGTAGAAAATATCATTTTTTTACCAATAGTTTAAATCAGTATTTAAAGTACAATAGCTGGGTCCTCAAAGTACAGATGGCCCCTGAAACAAAAGTTTTTTTTCCAGAAATTTCAGAAATGAATGCACATATACTTGGTTGCGTTTTTTTCTTGAAGCTCTAGCAAAATATCTGACTCATTCGTCATACTCTTTTCTAAGAATCCAACTATTGTACTGCACCAATCATTGTTAAGCAATTATTTTACATGATGACCACTCCTTGTAACAATTCATATCCCCGGATTTGCAAAGTGTGAACATGTGTATCAGGGCCGCGACTGGAGGAAGTAAATCATTCGACATCAAGACCAACTTCAAGCAGCCCTTCCAGCGCTTCTGTCGCTACCCTCTCCTCCTCAGAACCCTCTTAGATGCTGTTGAGAAGACGGGCGAAACGGAAACCATCGAAGTGATCTCATCGGCACTGCAGACATGGAAACACGTCACAGACCACTTGAACCAGGTAAGTTTTTCGTGGGAAATTACAAATTGTTAAGATACAGCGAGAGAGCTTAATGGTAGAGCTTGTTGCCTGCGAATTGTGTTTTTTCAATGTGTTCTTCCAGATAAGCTAGAATTGGGCATGAGGAAACATTTTGAAAATCAAGTTTATGTTTGTTTCGTTTTGGTCAGAAGAGATTTGTGTAATAACGTCTTCTTAAATAAAAGACTGGGTGAAATTGATTGTTTAACAGGTGAAGGCGGATGAAGAAATGAGTTCAAGTACCCTTCCCAAAGTGCTAGCCAGAGTAGGGCTGATTGAGGAACTCACTGCCACAGCCGGAGGCGGGGGAGGGGGAGGGGGAGGGGGAGGAGGACATGCTGGGTCCATATCAGGTCAGTTTAAGGAATCTTGTAGATTTTAAGGGAGTGTTAAACATCAAAAAAAGTATCACTTGCTCAGTTCTTTCGGGGTGTCCTTTTGCATACGATTGAGATATGATTTGTTCCCAATATGATTGGTTAGATTATCGTAAACAGTTACGTTTATGTCAATGAGCGTAGCGAAGACTCTTATATAGGTCGTGTTGGTTTAGTTTATCAAAGTTTTTTTTTTCGAGATATGATTTTTCGCGTTTTGACTGTTGGTTGCTTTCTTAGTTCAATTGAAGTTAATTTGCTGTAAAGAAGGCAAATTTGAGTCCTCCAATTAGAACAGTGCAAATGGAACAAAAGAAAACGTGGAACGAAAAAACTTATTTTGATTTTTAGTTTTATCAGTGTAATAAAAACGATTACATATTGATCTAAATTTTTTTTCCAATTGGGTAAGCTTTATCAAACAAATTGTCAATTATAAAACTTTCTTGCAATTCTTTTTACGCATTTGGCAATTTAGAAGATTGGGTAACATTTTAGAATTCTAATGAAAATCTCATTGGAAATTGTAAAAAAAAAACTAATGGCTCCACTCGAGGAACAATTGAATTATCAGGAACTTATATGAAGATTGAATTTATCTGGGTGCAATGAAACGGCCGCAGGTTGCAAACTTTATCAAGAGTAAAGATAAACCATTTACTTCTGTGAAGTAATGAGGAACAAACAAATTCTCAAATAAATCCGTATTAGAGATTCGTCTAGACCGTGTACCGCATAATCATATTCATTCGGTTCTAAGCCCTTAAATTTTATTTCTTTGCGTTGAGTTTATGTATGTTATTACGTGACGTGTTCCTTTCTGCGTTGAACTACCTACGGAATTTGGCGCATATAAATGGGCAATACTAGATCGGCAGTATCGTGTTTAGGAGTATCGGGAGACGAAAAGAGGAACTCAATGATCGACTTCAGTAACTCCTCTTCAAGTTTACGTCGTGGGTCATCCGAAAGCAGATCGGCAAGAATGAGTTTGGCATATATTCGGCCGAACTACAATCGAGTTGAGGAGTTTGAAAAGTACGGCAGGTTCATCAAAGACGAACTCCTGTCTGTAGTTATCGAGAAAGGCGAAAAGTCAATGGCTTCAAAACTGATGTCAAAAAAGTATCATAAGTACAATGTAACGTTAACAGAATTGCAGCTCATTTTCAATAAAAACACTGCTATAAACTTCAGAATGGCGGCTAACAGTACTTTAGTATACGAAACAGGGAATTTTGTCTCGACTAAAAGTGATAAGAATCATCCGGCAGTGTCGAACATTAAATTGTCAGTGGCCAAAACGGCGTATATATTGACGTTCAACTCTCAATTCAGCTTCGAAAGCTGGAAGCAAAAGCTGGACCAAGTGGTAGATATGTGCAAGAGAGATCCAGCGAAACATAATGGACACATTTTCGAATACTATTCGTTCCAAGTTGAGAAGGATGCGGTTGTGTGTGCAGTTTGTGGGTTTGTGTTGAAGGGTTTGGTCTGGCAGGGTCACGTGTGTATTTTGTGCAAAGCGAATGTTCACCCCAAGTGCAGAACGGAAACAAGTGCACATCCTTGCCAGGTAACTTCATTTAGATTTCTGATCATTAATGGTCAATAAGTTGACCGTAACTCGACACCCCATTGACCGTTAATAGTTAATCTAATTTATCAATCTATTTCTAAGAGCGAGACGAAATAACCATTCAAAGGTGGCTTTCCTTTCAACGGAAGTTGCATAGTGATTTAACTCGATTTGACTTTGCATTGAAATGTTTTGTACACCACTGGTAGATTAAATATGAATTTTGACGGTCGCTTTTGATGTTAGTTATTGTTCCGACCATTTGAACAATGGAAGGAACTTTGTATTCGGGGGTTTTAGTTTTTCTTTTTTGTTTTCCACGCGAAATCAGCTACCATAAATAATCATAGGAGAGAGTTATATCATAATAAAGCCCTGACAGTCGTAATTTGAACGACATTAAAAACATTTCGAAAATAATTTTCTTATGTTGGGAAAAACTGGTTTGAAATTTTTGGTTTTTCGTCCTAATTCGAGCGAATAAAGCGAGAGAGCATGCTTACTATAGCTTAATTTAAAGCATAATAACTTAGTTTTACTCAAGTAACGTTAGTTTTTTTGAGTATTTTTGTGCCTTTTTTGGAATCAGCGCCATTTTAGTGCCTTTTCTTTAGATTTTTTTCACAAAAATTGTTTTCAATTTGCTTATTTTACTATGAATGACGAATATTCCTAATCTCTAATTTTTCTTCAGCTCCTTTTATCATCATGCCAAAAAAATTGACACTTGTTTGAAAAAACTTTTTGTTGTATTTTAAAGACTATGGTCGGAGCATTCTGTGTTACTTGCACAGTACACCGCTATCCTTGTTGAGGTTTTAACATTCTCTTGAAATCCTAAAACATTGACAGAACTCTTTTTTTTCATAATTCGTAGAATGAGGCAAAATTTGGTATGTATTTTAGCAGAATGCATAGCAGTAGATAACCGCAAAGCCTTGTTTGATGCAAGCATTAATCACGACCTAACAAAAAAGTTGATTTATCCCATAAATTGTTTGGCTCGATATGAAAATTAAATGAAAGCTACCTCCCAGCGCTTATCTATTTGTTTTCATGATACGCCTCAAACAGATACCAAAGGATTCTACTGATGTTATTGAAACCCATTTCATTCTCTTGCTTTGAGCATGCCTGAAAAAAGCACGCATCAAAAATTATGTATAGTGCAAATTAGAGAGAAATTTGAGATTTGATACTCAATGAAAATTAGTTCTAACAAGTAAATTTTCAATCAATTGTCTAAAAGGAATATTCTCCAAGGTATTTTTTGTCCATTTTTCTAAAAAAAAAAGACAGGAATTTCTGAATATTATGTTTATGGATAGAAAAGTGATTAGGTGTAATTCGAAGACTAAAATGTGGACTTTTAGGGACCTATGTCTAACTCGGGCAAAACCCTCGAAGTTGGCCGAGCGGATGGTCCGGAAAAGTCTCGAATGGCAGCGAGGTCAATGACCTTTGCGACGACAGATGCTTCATCGGAACCTGGAAGAAGATCGTTTGAAAACGCAAGACGTAGTTCAATGTCTGGCAGCAACATAGCTGCTCAAGGCAATCAAGATATGGATGGGGAACGGGTACCCGTAGCGGCACCTAGAAGGGGATCAAAAAGCAAACCGAAAACAATTGAGGGTAAGGAGTATCGGTGTAAACAGGGGCGGATTTAGGGGGAGGGATTCGACCCTCAGGAATTCGACCCCTGCTGAACCGAAGGGTCCCTCCTTTGTACTATTTTGAAATGTCCAATTTTTGTGACGGATCCTAAAAATAATTAAAGGCGTCTTCGGCGAAAATATACTCATTTTGCAGGGGGAGAGCAACGCGATTTTTTGGTCAAAATTTTCAAAAAAGTGCCTAAAAACGCCTTTTTTGGCCTTTTTTTTGTAACTTATGCCTGCGGCGCAGAAAATTTGCCTGAAGCAGGGTCTTTTTAGCCAAAAATCAACTTAATCGATCTAAGAAAAAAGTCGACAAAATTTTCGAAATTTTTTTGAAAATTGCCCCCCCCCCCTCTCGAGGAAATCCTAGATCCGCCCCTGGGTGTAAACATGGAAACATATGAGCTTTAAAGGAGGAGCAAATAAGTGTTTAATTGGGTTGGTAAATAGTCGATAGAGCTTTAATTTTGTTTAATTATATTTCATCTGTTTAGTTTGAGCGTTTTACGATGATCTGAATTTTTTTTGCTCATCTTGTTCGCTCTCTAACAATGAAAGTAACATAGTGAATGACATAGAGATAGTTCGAAAGTTTGATTGTGTCATCCGTTTAGAACAGGGTTGGTTTATTGGGATGGCCAGTAAACAGGTGACGAAGAACAACCTCACACACTTCTCATCACTAGCAGGCACCTTCCTAGTGCGACTGAGTGATAGAGACCCAGGGTACAGGATGGCAGTCATCAATTCAGACAGACAGATCAAACACATTCAGGCAAGAGCATGGCATTACAAGTGATAAATTTGGCAGAAATGGGCAAACCAAGCCCAACACTAGTTAGTATTTAGGGGGAGGGATTAACACGTGTGAAGAGATCTGAAAAGCATGAAGGAGAAATGATTTTGGAGATCAAAGAATCTTAATCGAGTTTTGTGATTGGTTTTTGTTCCGACCACCGACAGCAAACTTGAAAAGAAAATATTATCGAGAAAAAAATTACTGGGACTAAGTTATGCGAGCTTTTATGCAGTGGCTAAGAAGCACGGCGGGGAAGCGTGAGTTATTTTATTTAAGTGCGGTCAATTAATTCCAGTTCAGACGGGCTCACATACTCACTCAAATTGAATTGAGGCAAGCTTATGTTTCCCAATAATTCCTTTTTAGATGGAGATTTTTTTCTAAGGCATAATTCTAGCTAGCATATTTCCAGCTAGATTATTTGCTAGCTTGGTTTAGGATAAACTCATCTTTTTCAAGATCTCCGGCACCCTTTGGTTAAATGTAACGACTACGCCTGGGCCCGACCTGTTTTTTTTTTATAATGTAAATACTTCATTTCAAAAAAAAGTTCTGCCTATCGTTTATCTGATAATGTTTTGTCGGTTTATTGAACAAGTTTTGCATCGTTTGAAAGTAACCTTATCTTCTACGTCCCCTCCTCTGGAATCAAGAAATTTTTTATGACAACAATTTTGTTTTCTGCTCAATAGGAGTCTAGCCAAGTTTTACGGCTTAGTTGCCGCTCAATACATGATTTTGAATACTTATTTCACGACGGTGATTGTATTTTTTGACGTATTTCCTCAAATTCAGGCTCTTTCCAACATTTTTTCGTTTTAGATTTTTTCGATTCATTTGTAAGAGTCAACAAATGTAATTCAGGTTCTTTTATTGGTCGTGATTAATTTTTTCAGGAAAAGTCTTAAAATTTGTTCAGGCTAAAATTTACTTTTTCGAGGTTTTACTTTTGATTTATTTTTAAGTGCAGTTCATTACCTTTGTTAACACGAAGGGAAACTCCACTATCGCACAGCGAAAGCGTAAAGGTCACGAAAAACGTGAGCGACTTCTAGTTTCGAAATTGGAATTTAATTTGATTAAAAATTGTACTCATTGGTCCAGTTTTTTACTCATTGGTCCAGATGGAGATTTTTTTCTAAGGCATAATTCTAGCTAGCATATTTCCAGCTAGATTATTTGCTAGCTTGGTTTAGGATAAACTCATCTTTTTCAAGATCTCCGGCACCCTTTGGTTGAATGTAACGACTACGCCTGGGCCCGACCTGTTTTTTTTTATATAATGTAAATACTTCATTTCAAAAAAAAGTTCTGCCTATCGTTTATCTGATAATGTTTTGTCGGTTTATTGAACAAGTTTTGCATCGTTTGAAAGTAACCTTATCTTCTACGTCCCCTCCTCTGGAATCAAGAAATTTTTTATGACAACAATTTTGTTTTCTGCTCAATAGGAGTCTAGCCAAGTTTTACGGCTTAGTTGCCGCTCAATACATGATTTTGAATACTTATTTCACGACGGTGATTGTATTTTTTGACGTATTTCCTCAAATTCAGGCTCTTTCCAACATTTTTTCGTTTTAGATTTTTTCGATTCATTTGTAAGAGTCAACAAATGTAATTCAGGTTCTTTTATTGGTCGTGATTAATTTTTTCAGGAAAAGTCTTAAAATTTATTTAGGCTAAAATTTACTTTTTCGAGGTTTTACTTTTGATTTATTTTTAAGTGCAGTTCATTACCTTTGTTAACACGAAGGGAAACTCCACTATCGCACAGCGAAAGCGTAAAGGTCACGAAAAACGTGAGCGACTTCTAGTTTCGAAATTGGAATTTAATTTGATTAAAAATTGTACTCATTGGTCCAGTTTTTTTCAAATTGCGTTAGATTTATCAACAAAGTGGCTATCATAAATTGTTCTAGACATTCAAAGAGCTTTAAGGCCATCTATTTTTTACTTTGAATTTCGAAGTAGAGATTTTTTCAAAAGTAACTTCGTATTGTTTTCTGTTTACTTGCGGTCATTGATTCCTTTCCATTTGTCTGTTGGCTATGTTTTGTCAGTTAGTTTGCAATGCTCTATTTGTGTGGTATCGCAAGTATGTGTGTCTCAAGTTTAGTTCGTATTATCAAAAAGCTGGCAATTATAAAAGATTTCTGAAACTCAATGAGCTATAAGGTGATATATTTTTTCTTGAAACTCAAAAAATAGTTTTTTTTGTGGGCAATTTTCCAGGAAGTTTAATGATCTCTTTTTTTGGCCGGAAATTCAACTTGTAAGGCTTTTAAGTGGTTTTTGAATGTTAAAATGGTTTGTTTTCTGGTATCAATTGAGAGCTGAGAATCAGGTTCAGCTTACAACAAAAAAGATATAGCAACTGTTATGTTTTCGAATTGTGGTTTGCATTTTCTGTGCTACATCTAGAACGACCAACTATTCATGCTTCTTTTGTAGATTATAGAGGAGGATGGCAAGTTCTGTCTTGAGGAGAATTGCAGCTTTGACTCTATCCTAGAACTCATCCAATTCTATTCTGCCACAAATCTCTCCTCTGTCTTCAACGACTACCTGGATGTCTGTCTCAACTACTCTATCGCAGAAGCTTGCTATCAGGCAAGTGATGCTATAAATTAAACTGAAATTCTTATCACATTGCTATCTAAGGGCAAAATTTGAGCTCTTCAGCTCCTATCAGCTGAGACATACTGCCTAGCCTATATTTTGCTTGATTGTCCCGGTTAATTAGTGTCTTTTTTTATTTCTTTTTTTTCTGGGTATGATATTCTCGTAAATGAAATAGACTTTGAACAAGCATTCACAATATTTTGAATTTATATCTTAAATGTACTTTGTCGCCAACAGGTTATCCGGGAAAACCACCATAGCTCCAGTCATTCGACAGAACTGAGGGTAGCAGTCGGGGCAGCAGTATTGCTCAGACCAGTATCGGCGCCCTATGTCAACAATGCCAGTGGATATATTGATGTGCACCAAGGTCAGTTGGTGTTCATAATGGATGAAGCACCAGATGCGAGTAAAACTTATTTATGTCAATTGAAATGCACAAGTGAAGATTCTAGTGAATTTATTTTGCCAGAACATGACTTGAAATTCATTACTGATCTATCGTATTTCTAATATTGCAAAGATTTTAAAATGTTATATTTTTTACTTTATTTAGATAAACTTTCAGATAGTTCTATTCAAGCATTAAAGTGAAAATTATGCATTACTTTGACTGGGAATGTTTTTGGTTAAAATATAATTAATTTGCCTGAATTTTTTTGCAAGTGTGTTTAAACGTTTAAATATGCGGTTTTCTCGTGCCTTTTTTTAAGAGTAATTAACGTAGTAGTGATCACTCTTACATAGGTCATGGTGATTTTTTTTCAGGCTAAAATTTGATTTTTCGGACTTGATATATTACGCTTGCGACTTTTTTCTAGTTAACAACTAGTTTAAGAAAATCACTGAATCATTTCTGCAGCAACGAAACATGCAACGAAAATTCAAATTTAACTACTGGGTATAAAAAGTTGTAGTAGACGACGAAGGGACTACGCTCGAATCCGATCAGCACCTGTTTTTTTTATACTAAAATATTTAATATCAGAAAATGATCGGCCTATGGGTTGTCTCTTTATAGTTTGTCAGCTTAGTTGCCACCCCACAATTTTTTTTGCGCTTTTTCCAGTTTTCATTATAGTCTCAAGTGTCGTTTATTAACTCCTGTCGCTTTTCAAAATTACTGTACCTTCTGGTATATTTTCGGTTTTTTTTCGCTTACTCAGCCTAATGATATCGTCTCTTGTTCTGTCGATTTTAAATGATTTCGGCTCTTGTTTTGTTCGTTTAGTGAACTTATTTTGCATTGGCCTAATGATAAAAAGTGATTATTCGTGATTTTCTTTAGTATTTTTTGTTTTCTGATTTAATGCTGCCTAACTATGAGTTATCGGCTTAGTCAACGCTTAAAAATACTTAAAGCTTGTTTTGAACTAGCGTCTGTTTTTCAAAGATTGAATTTTTCGTGTTTCGAATGTTTTTATGACAACCATTTCCTTTTGCATTTTTGTTTTAGGATGAATTGGCGTCTAATCTCGTGTTGCTGGCATAGTGGACGCTCGGAAAATACTCAATTACTTGATGCTAGTGTTTGTGTTTCTGGTCTGATTTTTTGAGATTGAATTTTTCGTACGTATTTCCAAAATATTTGATTTTTTATGACAATTTCCTTTTCTAGTTTTGTTTTCGGCAAAATTGTAAAGGTCAGAAAGAACGTTATCGACTTCATTTCGAAAGTGGATTTCAGATTTCCCAGCAGAATAAAAATCTTGAATATTTTATACAGTTTTCTCAATTTGAGTCAAGTTTATCGAAGAAAACGTCGTGAAATTCGAAGAGCGCCATCGCCGTAAATGGTTTTTTTTTGAAATTCGAAGCTTCTCAAAAAATTTTTTTTTCAATTCGAAGCGTTTCTTTTTCTGTTTACTTGATTTCGTGACTTTTTTTCCATTTTTTGTTGTCTAATTATTAGGTTAATGAATGTAGTGAAAGACTGAATAAAAAGGTCATAGTGAAATTTTAGTTAGTTTTTTTTGAAGGAATAAGTCTCAAAATGCTCTTATAACTACAGATATACATTTGGTCAAAATATTGTATTTTCGAATGCGCTTAGATATATATGCGCATCTTGAGTTCAATTGAAATTCTGCTGAAAGTTAGGTAAACAGCGCTCTCCATATACGAACGTGGAAACAGCGCAAAAAATCGTGCACGACTTCTAGTTTCGAAAGTTGAATTTATTTCTTAGATTTAACAGGCTAGTAAAATTTTTACCTATTTACCCAGTTTTCTGATATTGGGTTAACTTCATCAGAAGAATAATAATTTGAAATTGTTAATGCTTTCGATTAGGAAGCGTTATCAAACTGGCATATAGACTTTTTTCGGGTTGACAACTTGTTTAACAGAATCACTTGTATCTTAGTTCATTTTGAGTTCAAATTTTTATGCATTCTCGGCCAATTTAGCCTGGAGGTAGTGAGTATGCCTTGGATGGCAAAGGGCCTGTGTTCAAATCTGACCAGGACCCGATTTTTTTCAAATAGGACATATTTTTCAAGCGCGAATTTTTTAAGGTTGCTTTTAGTGTTTGATTTACCCCTACAATTTAAAATTTTATACCTTGGCTTCGAATTTCCTTCGGTTTTTGTTTTGCTTAAGAAATCCTCGGCCCAAATTATTTCGGCCTACTTTTTATCGGCTTATTGACCTAATTTTGGGTCGTTACAGGGGAAACACAATTTGAGATTTCCCCTCCGAACTTTTCATGTTGTATGTTTACCGATCGGTTTGTTGAAATGTCTTTTTTTAATAAAGAAGTTTATTTCCAAGTTCATTGGAAACAGTTAAATTTTTCTCGGAATCTTCTTTCGATTTACGAAAAAATGTATCAATTCAATAACCGCCTATTATCCGGTGTGCCTGTATATTTCCCCAGAGTCGGTTTTCATTTGACATCTCTGTCTACAGCCTTCGAAACAGTATGTGGGGGAATTTTGAGCCATATTTTTGATATCAGTTTTGGTTTTCTCGAAAAATGCCCGTCTCAAATCTGAGTTTTTGAAATGAATTGAATGGTTTCGAAAAGCTACCTGAATGAGAAGCGAAGCTGCGCTCAAATTTTTTTTTGCGCATGAAGTTATTATCCTCGGAATAGTCAATTTTTTTCTTTTTGAGCAATTTTGAAGTTTAAAATATTCTCAAAAACTGCCCAGCCATATTTGAGATTTTGAGTTCAATTCAAGGAACGGATTTTGGGAAGCTCATTTGCTCTTGTGACTACTCCCAAATTTTTCTCAAACGATAAGTTATGTTCCTCGGAAAATCAATACTGTTTTTTCAATTTTTTTGACATTGCTCGAGAACTACTCTCCCAAATCTGAAGTTTTGGGTTAAAGCAAAATTACTGGTTAATTGAATCCTTTCTGCATAAGCGGCTCTGTGTCTTGAAGTTGTAAGAGCTTTAAAGCCATTTATTTTTTTCTTTAAAATTCGAAAAATGAATTTAAGTAAACTCATTTATCTTTGTTTCCTTGCGTTCAGTATTCTTTTCCAGCTGTGAGTTGGCTGTTTTGTAATATCAAAGGGTCTACGATCAGCGGCACGCAAAATTGTAATTTTCAATCTTATAGAGCTGGGTTTTTGCAACCGGGTATTAGACAAAAATAAATAATTTGTTCACAGACTCGTCAATTCATTAGGAAATGTAAATTCCTACACAGGACTGCTGATTTGCTCAATTTCTTTGAAAATTTAATAAAAACTATCATAAATACCGCAAGGTAGTGCTTAGGTGGAAATCGTTCAAATAGAATTTTTCGTCCTAGTTTCCATTGGTTAATTTTCCATTTTTAAAAATGGCATTTATATTATCTGGTACGGTTTAGTTAACTTACTTCCCAAGCATGGGTTTTACTTTGAGTTTTTTCAGGCTTGAAAAGTTTCTGGCTATTAAAATTCGATGAATTTAGTTCAGACTCTTATATATGAGTTCATGTGTTTTTTTCGGGAAAACTCTTAAAATTTGTTCAGACTCGTCAAATTTACTTTTTCGCGCGGTTTGATATATGATTTCTTTTAAAGTTCAGTTCATTTCTTTTGTTAAAAGGCAAGCAAACTCCACGATCGAACTGTAAAAGTGTGAAAATCACGACTTGAGTATGAAGATAAAATGGCTGAAATCAATTCAGGGCTGCTATCTGAGCATATTACCAGAATGGATCTCAATTAACTTGACCCCACATACAGTAAATAGGAGCTGAAATAGTACGCCAAATGGCAATCGAGACTAAACATTTACGACGGGATTCTTGTGCGAGAGTTCTTTGTTAAACACCTGTAACAGCAAAGTATATCAGACCGGAAATAACAAAGAATATGTAGATGCAGTAATCACCCCCAGAGCTTGTGGAAAAGGTTGATAATTACTTTATTGGCAATCATTTCGATCCGGAGCAAGCAATCCTGAGTAAATAATGCGCCTTTTGATGTACGTCAATTTGTCTATCTTGCCACGTTTTTGCACAACATAGAGCTAAAGTTGTGGCCATATTTAAAGGCGGGCTTCACTATCTCGCCACATTTAAGCTTTTTCAACGTATGATTTTTGCATGCTTAATGAAAGACATTTTTCACGTTAAAACTATATCATTTATTGTAATGGTTAAGATTTTTTTTCGGTTTTCCAGTTTGGATTCAGTGGTTATTTCACCGAGTGTTAAAACGGTTGCCCAATAGTGGAAGGGGTGGCAAAGTTAGCCTCCAATTATGAATGCTCTAATCCTTTTAGTGTACGAGATACGTCGTTTTTCAGAAAACTTTGTTATATTTTCAAAATTTGAAATTCCCATTCCTGTAATTGGGGGCTATAGAGTACTTTCAGGGGTTGCGAACCTAGCCTCAAATTATGACTTCTCAAATTTTTTTTATGTTTTCCAGATATGACGTTTTTTGTCTTTATTTTTCAAAGTTTTTCAGTAGTTTTTTTTATTTTAAATTTTCCAACCCTGTAGTTGGATACTGTCAGAGTACTCTCAAGGATTGCGAATCTTGTTCAAAATATAACTGCTCAAATTCTTGTAGTTTTCGAGATATGGCGTTTTTTGTGATTTTTTTAAAAGTTTTTCAGAAAACTTAAATCATTTGTTTTTTCACTTTCTGAAATTCCTAACCCCGTAATTGGGTGCTGTCAGGAGTACTCTCAAGGATTGCGAATCTCGCCTCCAATTTTGGCTGTTCCAATCTTTGTAGTTTTCGAGTTATGACGTTTTTTGTGATTTTTTCAAAAAGTTTCAGGAAACTTAAATTAAATTTTTTTCAAAATTTGAAATTGCAAACCCTGTAGTTGTGGGCTATAGAGTACACTCAGGGGTTGCGAATCTTGCCTCCAAGTTTCTCCAGACGCCCTTTAATTTTTTGGAGGTGTGACGCTCTTATGATTTTTCAAAATTGGAATAAAAAATATATAAAATTGAAAATTACTAAACCTGTAATTGGGTGCTGTCAGATCACACTAAAAGGCTGCTGATTTTGTTTTCATTATGCGTGGTTTCTTATGAGTTGTCAATATTTCGAAGCACTGAAGGCGCGTTATAAGCTAGTTTTATTTAAAACAATCCTACTCTAAATTAATTGCGGCCGTTATGGTGTGCTAACACTTTTTTGATTGCCTCT